CAGTTTTTTGGATCTAAGGTTCATAGAAAAAGCAAATTTTGCAAAAGCAATAATAAAAGCTTCTATTATGAACGGAACAGAAAATAAATTTACAAATCATATATGTATTTGATTAAGGTGGCTCACAAAGACCAAATTTTGTTGAAAAGATAAAAATGTTTTATGCGGTGATAGTGTCGTTTGAGTTGAAATGAATGAAAAGAAAAAATGAAAAGCTCACAAAGACCAAAAATGTTTTTTCGCTAATTGTTGTATCAATCAAAAGGTGCTTTCACCTTTCTCATTGTTAATAAACGTTTGATTGAGTAAAATGAATGAAAAGGTCGAAAAAGTATACCCAGAGTTTCATAAAATGTATCAAAGCAAAAAGATGGCTCAAATTATGAGTTTTAAGTGCGTAAAACGGTGATGATGTTGAATTTTTTGTTTTTTCTTTTCTTGCCTTAAAGAAAACTTAAAATTAAGAACACTTTCAACGAAAAAAATACGTGAATGGTCCATAAATTAAGGAAAATACTTGGCAACACCGCAAGAGTCAAATAATCCGCCATGACTATTGACGTGCTCGATAACCTCAATCAACTGACAACGTTAGAAAAGTTGCTCAAACTTTTGCGAAAAACACAATTATTATGCATCTTAGCGACAATCTTGCATGTGCAATTATGAATTGTTGATGCTTAAAACACGATTTTGCAGCAAACAGCACCGGAAAATCTCATTTTCGAGCATAAATAAGTGGTTTTGCAAAAGCGAATTTCAAAAGTTTGTAATTGTTTATTGGCTTAATTTATGGACCATCCACTGAGTGTTTAATTTTAAGCACTTTTTTTAGCTGAAAGTGTTATTTGAGGTGCTCTTTAAGGAAAGAAAAGAAAAACTATCAAATTCGGAGAAACTCAAACGACACGATCACCGCATAAAACATTATTGGTTTTTGTTTATGAGGTTGTAAATCAAAATAACAAAAATTTCGGGGTTTTGATTTAAAAATTCGCATGCGAAAATGAAAACTGGCAACTTCAACGGCGCTTATGTACCTACGTGACGTGAAAAAACCCGCTGTCGCCAGCACTGGTTGACATTTGTCAAACATTTGTTATGGTTGACTAATCATATTTTCAATTGCGGGTTTCACCTAGTTTTTGTTTAATTTCTCTTTATTCCGTTTAAAGTTGAATTAAATCGCATGAAGATCTGCCGCCGTTATTGGTGCGTGTAGTGATGAGATTTCACGCAAGTGACTTGACTGCCAGTGCAAAATCAGCACACACAATTGAATGATGGACAATCAAATAATAGGGCCTCAAAGCCCAGATGTGCAAAATGAAAAGAATGTGGTGCAGAATGGTAACTGCTCCTGTGAGGCTGCAGAAGAGGCTGTTTCTACCGACTCGGATGAATACCTTTCAGGGGGCCCTTTGAGGTATTGACATACTTATTAAAAACAAAACAATACCCAGTTTGTATCGCGCTTTATCAGGCTAAAATTGCTGGCGAATTAACGCTCATTTCAATATTGTGTGGCTATTTTTCATTAATTACCATAACTACATTTGTTGGCGTGTTTTCGATTTGAATAAACACCACTTCTGCAGATGCGCCCACAATTTTGTCAAGAAAATCTCTATTAAGAGACAATGACGAGGAAGAAACCCAGCCGATCTGATGAGGAACGAAGGAAGACGTTCAAGTACAGCTCGAAGCAATTGAAGCTATTAGAAACGCAAAAAATTGATTAATTGTATTTATAAGTGCTAAGTGGTCAAAACAATTATTTATATGTTTATCTACATATTTCGGATTGGTATTTTCGCATTATCTGCTTCTATTAATGACCTCATATGTTTCCTGAAAATGACTTGATGTCCCCCAACAAGAAATCAATCTAAAAATGAAAATTTAGACGATCTATCAATAGTATTGTAGCAAAAAGGAACTGACAATAAAAAAATCAATGATAACTGCGAAAAGCCATGAAAGCAGCTCTAATATTCATTCAACCAGACATTGTAATCACACCCCTACATGAATTCCGTCTGTTCTCATTCTATTCTCATAAAGTTGACTTTAATCCCAATTCAAGCCAGAGGTATAATAAGGATATTTTATAGAATATTTACTGTAAACTTGTTTCACACATTGTATGGCATAGTTTTGTAAAAACTCCAAGCTAATTCACATAAGAGTGATACATTACACACTTACCTATAATACTTAGTCGTATTGTTAACTTGAAACGTATTCATTTTTTGCAGATACAAGAATTACGACCTGGACTGCTCAACAGCATCGAATGTAACATTATTGGCTCAGAACATGAGCATATCCGACAATAATGATAATTCTAGTATTACTGACAACATGTCATTTACTAATAGTGATATTCTAAACCCCATTCAAATCCCAATTGTGGGCTATGAAATAATGGAAGAACGAGCCCGATTCACTGTAAGCACCTGAGAGCTGTGCACGCTTTATTGGGAAGATAAACATTCACCTTTTGCAGGTTTATAAACTAAGGATAGAAAACAAAATCAATGGAGACTGCTGGTATGTTTTCAGAAGATACACAGACTTTGTGCGATTGTGCAATCGATTCCGCAATAAATTCCCGGATGTAATCAAACATTTACCGAGAAAAAGGTGGTAAGAACCAGATTGAAAGTCACACAGACTTTCAGGTTTTATGCTGTGTGTGTGTATTACAGGTTGAAAAATAACTTTGATCCAATTTTTCTGGATGAACGAATAAACGGCCTGCAAACCCTCGTGAACGCCATCTTGCAACAGCCAGATTTGGTCAGTTCTAAAGAAATACAAGAGTTTTTTTGCATCAATGAACCTCCAGTCCATTCCGACAGCAATGAGGAATCACGGGTATAGTAATTAGCAATGCCGATCCATACTGGTATATTTTATTAAAATTTCATTCACTTTTAGGCAATATTTGAAGCTTTGGAAGACACAATAGCCGATTTGAAATTGCAGCTGAGAGAAAAGGAAGCTCATATCGACAGTCTGGAACAGAAGCTCCAGGGTGTATTGAATGAGAACGAAAACTTGAAAAAGGGCTCATTTCCGAGCCCGTTGCAAAAGTAAGCGATTCAAGCGTTTCAATGAGCTTTAAAGGTAGTAAATATTTAATTGTGTTCTAGTAATCAGGAAGTAAGGGAAACTCAAACGATTACCAAAGAAGGACCAGTTAAGTTGTGATGTGATATTTTATACCAGAATTTGTTGTTGTGTCAGATGAGATAGATATTTATTTTATACTTTAACAATAATGATCTTAATATTATATGCAATAAGAATAACAGTATTGAAGATTATTTTTGAATGACCTCCTGGCCTTCGATGTTAATGCCGTAAGCTTACTAACAAAAAACTTTGCTTTTTAACTTAAAAGTACTCAAGGATTAGCTCAAGCAAATAACTTCTTAATTTTATAGATGCACTTTACAACAAACGTTTAAAAGTTGAAGACGTACAGAAAAGAAAAGAAATACGCAATAGTAAAGATCCTGCAAAGTATAAAGTTTATCCCAAATTCTGAGAGAAAAAAGTTCTATCTATCTATACAAAGTGAGGAAACTTTTGAATATTGAACCGAAGATACGTCTCATCCTGAGAATGTAGACTCTTATAAGCATGTTTTACCAGCAAAGTAAATATTCACGATTCCAGTTTCACCTCTAACCACTAACCACACCAAGAATGGAGGTCCAAATAAACAATTCAATCTCAACATCCAAAATTTTAACAGAAATGGATGTGGCTTGAAAATCGGATGAGGAATAATTATTTATTTTTTGTGTACTTCGGATTAATCGATTGTTTATTTTCAGAAATGTAAAAACACTGGAAAAAAGTTGAATAGAAGTTCTTAAATGAAATTGAGTATAGTCGAGTTTCAGCTATTTTCATATTTCAAAGCAAATTTTCCGCCATAAACGTATCTTTATTTTGGAATATTTCAAAAGAATTAGTTTTTCTAAATAACTCCCATAAAGAATATTATCCAAAAGAATTAGAAAAAAATTTACAAAAAAATTGTAAGCGCAAAAAGGTTGGCCGTTTGGGTACTTACAAAATCTCTTGGGTTGATAACTTAGAAAAAAAAAATTTGGGAGATTGAAAATCCCTATTCTGTTTGCCCAATTGAAAATCAAAGAAACATTGGTTTGGTGTTATAAATGGACATTTTTTACCTATATTTTAAGAAGGAATTCCTATTAGTACACACTTCTGGCAATATTTTCGACGCGACTTTTATGCGCCATTTCTGTGTGTTGAGAAAGCTGGATAGGTGGAAATGGACTCTCGAAAGAAATAAAGAATACAAATGAAATTTTCAGAACACCAACGGTAAAAACTAAACCGATCGCCATTAAACATGTTAAAACTTTGTTGATTTTTAACTGGACTTCTGCTTTCTGCGATACAACCGGTGGGGATTATGCACGGTAGCAAGAAAACCACAGAAACTAAACGTTTTTTAAAATCCTATGTCATTGTAGCAACTCTTAATCCTACTGGTTTTTAGAAATAAACCTCGAACATTCCGGAATACATATTTATGTAATCAAGAACGTTCGCAGTTCCTACTTTTGTAGCATCTAAATGGAGCAAATCAAGACATTGACTCACCAGAAAATCCTCTCTCCATGTCCATGTCCAGTCCATTTCCATGCTCTATCCATTCTGAGTCTGCAATTCTCGTTTCCGAATGTTCCGAAGCACAATTCAACACTTTTTTGCCATCTGATGACAAATTGTTCACGAAAAACGTAAAAAACTACCGATTTCAATTAATGATTTTTCCGTCACGTAAAAGTTAGATACCAAATGAGGTAAGTATATTTAAAATTCCATCCAAAATGTGTCCTAAATAGAGACCATCATCGACTTTTTTCGTGTTTAGGGCCAAAAAGAAAATGTCAACACCAGCACGAAAAAAAGTGAAAAAAAAATGATTTTTTTACAGAGTATTATGTTATAATATTTAATACATCACAAAAATTAGAACAGAAAAAACGTCTACATGAAATTGTAGCATCAATTTGCACAAAAACAGCAACTTGAACTTCGAAATGCGATTGGGTTTTATTACTCTGGTGTATTAAAATCCTTGAATTAACTGTTGCGGAACCACCAAGAAATCAAAAATATTTTCCCAATCTCTTTTTCAAAAGATGTCCAAATAAATCTGCACTCGAAGAGTTAAAATCATGCATATTTTCCTGGAACGCTCCTCATAAGTTCCGATTACGTCGCAAAAACCTCTAATCAGTCTTTTGATTTTAAGTGTGTTTCAGAAGGGAATTTATAAACTAAATATTAACACATTTGAAAATCTATAAAAACCTTTATAGGCGCAGATCAATCAAAAGTATCTATTAATTATGCGGCAAACCAGATAATTTTTTTCACGGAAAGCCGCTTGTTACCGTAAGTGTTTTAAGAAATGTTCCAAGCAAACAAAGTTAGTATTTTAGTTTATTTTTGGACGAAGGTACACATCGGTTATTGAATGTACAAGTTTCACGTTGACCAACTGCATAACTAAAGATAATCAATTTTATACGTTGGGTGCAACCAGTCTACATAATATAGAACTTATCTCCAGCATATATATCAACTAATTATACCAGCATATTCTTCACAGGAGAATACTATCTATGTGTTCATCAAGTATGTACATTGATTTCAAGCAATCATTTTTACTACAAAGAAAAGTACAATGTATACCGCAATGAGTCAAGAAAGACAATTTATCCCGACCTGGATGGTAAATAAACACTTAACAGAGCAACAATATGAAGCTAAAGTGGAGGCGTATTACACTTGTATTTGATAGGATTTAAAAGACAGTTTGGGTATACATTATACAAGTCTAGCAGTTCTCATTTGTTAACAATCAATAAATAACAAAAAATGTTCTAGTTAGCTTCAACAATATATATATAATTAATTTACCTTCTAATTTGCGAATAGAAGACGTTTAGCAATTTGGCCGAGTAGATTTATTTTAATCAGTCCTTTGAATGGTTGCCCTGTACATTAAAAAGGATAGTTTTCAAGCAAAACTCAACTGGCAAATAAACTCATAATTAAGGAGATTTTGCACAAAAACTTTAATTTCAATTGTGTAGAACCAGCTTATAACTGCACCAATTAGAATTAATGTACATCAGTACGATGGTCCCTTTCGTTTAACAGACGATTTTGTATAAACCTGCTCAACTGACTACAGAAAGGGAAAAGGGACATTGAATTATACCAAAATCTGAACGCAACTCCCGTACAGACTCCTTTTTAATGTACAGGGGAACAACGGAAAGACTACAGCTTTTTTGTTAGACGGACAGCGACACAAAGCTATTGTATTGGGAAATATTTCGCTTCAGAATATCGGCGCATGGACCCAGTACTCGTTCGAACCTGTTTGAAAAAAAAACTTGTATTACTATTTTTAATACGAATAAGATGCATGTTAATGGAGTTGAGAAAATTATAATTTTTTCAACCTTGTGAAGATGAATTGTTGCATTTAAGTGTTTAAGTTAAGTTAACCTTTGGTACCTACAGTACTACAAAAAATTGCAATAGACATTGTGAAAAATATATTCTCGGAAACGGTAAGAATAAGAAAAAGAACCGGATTCTTTTTTCAGCGTTAGGGGGAAGAAATTAGCGATCTTTTCCATGAAAAAAATGCCGGTGTGCACGTACCCAAATATAGCATGCACCGCGTCTCTTGCTGCCAATAAAGAATAAAATGCCGAATAAATGCAAGTAAAAAACCATTGTTTCCACAACAAAAATTGCCAATTGAAACATTTGCACTTTGAAAATTTGTAGAAAATGCAGCTGAGCCGCTAAGGAAACTTTGAAGTAAGAAAAAGAAGGTCCATTCTTTCCTCTGAAAGCCGAAGAAAGAACAAGTTGCCCTCTTACCGTTTTCTAGATATTTATTTTCAAAATACTCAAATCAAGGAATACTTTTTCTCCCAAAATCTCGACTATGGGAGTATCAAATGATTACAAATTGAATGCAGAATTCAGAAATGAAGAGAAACAACAACAACTTTTCACGAACTTATTTAAAAGCTAAAGTTGACGTGGGTAGTAAACAGTCTGAAACTTGAAACGAACTTTCTCATGCGCCACTCGCACATTTAAGGAAACACGGTATTTAAATTCCTTCTCTCTCTTCAGCCCTGTAGACACAATCAAACTACTGCATGCATAACTCAACACCCTGTATCAATAGCGCATTAAAGAAAGCGTATTCAGAAAAAGCGAGGGATCAGGAATCATTTTTGGTAGTTCAGTTTTTATTATTTATGTTCAATTTTCCTCTATTTTGTAAGTTATTACGATAACTTTGGACAAACATTTTTGTTCTGCCGTTAATTTTTTTCAATCTATACAATATTACTAGATGTTCCATAATTAATTGATCTTCCTGAATGATCTCTGAATTGGTAGAAGATAAATACCCAAGATTGCTTGATGAAAAGTACATTTAAAAAAATGTTGGCATGAAATAGGGAGTACAGATAATGATGTAGTCCGTAAACTACCTAAATGTGTTATTTTAAATGGGAAATAATAAATTTTAGAGCTCTTTAAAAAATGCTGTACGGTCGACTTAATCAATTTTTAACACATTGGTTCAACAGAGAAGTAAGTAGCAAGCGAATAATTCGTTTGCAATTTATTCAAAAGTTTTAAGAATTTTTTAAAAACTGTTGACCAGAGCTCCAAAATCGTCTGTTTTATCTGGAAATCAAGCATCTTAACAATTGTGAAAATGTGCATTTTTTACTGAAACATTCAATGCGATCTTAGTCATTGCGATCGTAGATAATTTTTATAGAGTTTTGAAGCTTTTTAATGACTTCACATTTCAAGCGAGGTAAAATTCAGACATTGCAAAGGCTTCAAAACATCACCGGCCGAAATCCGAATGTCGCTTGGTGATTGCTAAAAAAATTGCCAAATATTATTATTTCTTACTTACACCAGCCATCAAACCGTGATAAGAAAGATTACTTTGGACGCCTGAAGTCTACTCTCTACTGTTTGCAATAATCTCTTGATCCACGCATGATTTTTCCCCGTAGTATGTTTTTAGTTCCGAATTGAATCGAATAATACACAGCCCAGGATTTAAATTGCAAAAAATTATTTTCAGAAGATGTGTTAGATTACTTTGGAAATTAATACCGATAAATTATCATTGCTTCAAGGCCCATTTTTTATTTTTTCGTCAATGTTTTGAAAAAAATTATGCACCTCAGATAAAATGACTACAGGGTGGCAAATAAAAAAAATCAAAATTCCGAAAGTTCGGCATGCTCACGGTCAGTTGGAAAATGAGGTTTTTGTTTGAAAAGTTTGAAGATAAATCAAATAGCGCAAAAGCCGAAGATGCGAATCGGTTGAAGCTTTTTTTTATCACAATTTTTGGGTTTTTCCGAGCAACTCAAACTATTTCGGTTTCTGCTGACTTGTAAAAACAGTTTTTCGCTCGGCAATTCCATGCAGGTTTAGTTCTTTGTCAATAGGTGCGTAAAAAATCAAAATGTGCACCGATGTGCATTATCCTTGAAAAATCCATTAATTTTGAACATTACCTGGCTCTATCTAATTTGACACACTTGAGAGGCCCACATGCGACTACAGTGGCGGCTCGTGGTCGATCTAGCAGGAGGGCGATTTCTCCGAAATAGTCGCTGGGGCCTAAACGGCCCACTTCACGCGGCTCTTCACCTTCAGCACGCTTTTGCTTCACCTTGGCTGATCCTTCGACGATTATGTAGAAGTCATCACCAGGTTCACCTTAAACATTAGATAAATGTGAAACTGAATTGATATAAAGAGTCGTCTATTAAAAATCGGCCTAGAAAAGGGCTGCGGAATTTCGTACAGAATGTCTAAAATGTCCAATAGTACATCTATCGATTAAACTGGACAAATTCTCGTTTAAGGTGTTATTTATTCCGCTACCTGAGTGTTACCCTCTAGACAGCATCAGATGGGCCTGGGTAACACTGTGTTGAGTTGCGCCATTGAGTTTTTGCCGCTCTTTGAGTTAACGAGTTATAACTCATCGGTTAATGAGTTATAAGTAATTTATTAAAGTTTTACGAGACCCGCGACTGCAATTTCCACATAAAAAAAGGTTTTCCGAAAAACGTTTTACTACTTTCCATTTTCCCAGCAGCAGAACTGAGTCCAAAGAAAGTCGACGAGTTTTCTTGTAAAATCGGTCTCTTAATTTTTTTGCATAAAAGATTCAGTTTGCCAGTATTTTACAGTAAAGCGTTAGGAAAAACGCGGTTTTTCTGTTTAGAGACAGTGTTGTTTAGAAATATTGACCCAAAAGTGAAGAAACTCCAGTTTCCAAGGGTTTTTCAAATAAATGATTATAAACTTTGGCTTTTTCAGTTCGGGGAAATATTTTTGGAAAGACTTAGAAATAATTATTAGGGTTTTGTCCACAAATTGAAATTGCAAAAAGTTTTCCAAAAATGTTTGCAAAGCGGTTAAGGAGACGAGTGTTCCAATAAAATTTATTTTACAATTTTTCGCAGAAACTACCTGAAGATTGCCAGTATTTTAAGTAAAACTAAGAAATAATGCGATTTTTGCGTAGAAAGAATTGCTTAATAGAAACTTTGCTAAAACTGGAATGACCTGAAAATTTAAAGGAACTTTAGAATTCTTGAGAGCGATGAGGGCGGCGAATTTTCCAAATAATTTTTTGAAAACTTTTGCTCTCTGGTCGTTTTTTTCAAGATAATCTTAATTACTTTCGGTAAAAAACAGAATAAAATTATTTGATTTTTGAGCCAAATTCGAAGCAAAAATGGGTTTTGTAAAGTTCCCTGTAAACCGATGAATAAGGCGAATTTTTTGTCAAAATTAATTTTGCATTTTTGGCGGCTCAAAACACCCCATTATTGTCAAAAAAGAAGAGAATCATCAGAAAATAAAGCTTTTTTGCGTTTTCGATTAAAAACTTTTAATTTTGTGATCGGTAAAATGGTAGGAATTTATTTTCTCTCCCGAATTCGACACTGAAAAAAGTTTTTGTACATTTTTTACAAAGCTATAAATTTATCTTGTTTGTGCGTAAAAGTCCTCCCGATCGTCAACATTTTTAAGTGAAACTCTACAAAATAGAGCGCTTTTGAGTGGAAAGAAAAGCAAAAAATGCAGTCAAAACTAAAAAACCACATTTTTAACAAATTCTACAGTCTTCAGAGGAATGGAGGGGACGAGATTTCCAGATAATCTGTTATAAACTTTCGCTTATTTTGTTCGTTTTTTGATAGCAATTTATTTGATTTTTGTTTCAAATTCGACACTGAAAAGGGATTTCAAAACTTGGGGACCAAGGATAGGAAATTTAATTCATAATTTTTCACCGAAAATACCTTGTTTGTCAGCATTTTAAGTGAAGCTCTAGAAAATTGCGCATTTAGAGGAAATAGTAACTTTAGTATACAAACAAATAGTAACTTGAAAATTTTAAAATTTGAAGACATTTTAAAAATATTATTAATAAATGGCCTTTAAAATAAAGTTTAAAAAAGCGTGAGAAAAAAATCATCAACATGATGTTCATAACGCGAGTACAAACACTGGCAAAAAAGAAACAAAATAAGTCGAATCGAGTAGACCCCAATCGGGTCTATCGGTTCTCAAATTCTGGAATTTACGTAAAAACGTCGTTTTAAATCAGTGATTCTTTAATAAACTCCGCCCAATAGAATATCAGATACTTCGTATTGGCTAGTCGTAAAATTGACGATGCTTCGCGTTCTAGGGTTCAAAAAATGCGACTTCAACCTTTTTTTACCTTGTCTGACAATAGTTTCGCTATCCTCGAAGCTGACCGGCTCCAAAGCGTCCGCCACCGTTAATCGCTCCCACTTGTCGAGATTTTCCAGGATTGACACCCTCGATAAGAACTCCTCGTACATTTTCCGCTTTCTGATAGTGGAACCCATCAATATTCTCCGGTAAGAGTCTCTGTGGAATAGACATGTTTTAGGTAATTTTTAAGGAAAAAGAATTGTAGAATAATGCACCTGTCAATGCCCCACAACTTCACATCTGTTTTAGCCTTTACGGTTGCTGCTCTCGGTGTTCCATAGATGAGGGCCAACTCACCGAAACTGCCTCCTTCTCCTATGGTTACAACTAGTTCATTGTTGACGTATACCTGAAAGAAAAAGTTACTTTTAATGCAACGTTTCGGTTCCCGTTTAAAACCAAACAAGATTTTCGTCACAGAAATATCAGCTTATAGCATACAGGGTGTCTCACGGTCAGCGTCCATCAAAATATATCGGGAAGTAATGCGATTTGAATCTTGCAAATTTGGATAATGGCATTTTCGGAGACGCTCTTTTCAAATGAATCATAATCTCTCGATAATAAATTATCCGAAAAAGAAATCTAGCAAAGTGGAAAAATTACAGTTTTTATTATTCGTCAAAAAAAAACTGGAAAAACTTCAATATATTGAATAACGATGATACGTTGCTGATTCATTCAAAGGACGGTATTTGCATAAGTTTGTGGAATTTATATTAAATAAAAAAAAACAAAATACGTGGAATTCTGGGAGATATTTATTCACTTTTTGAATGTGTTCAAAACTGACACTTTCTCTCGTTTTTTTCTAGTGATTACTCCCTTTTATTCAAAGACATTTTTTTTTTCGAAAAACTAAAACTGTCAAAATTACATTTTTCAAAGCTTTTTGTTTGTTTTTTTTTCTCAAAATGCGCTCTAAAAGGTTTTTGAAGAATTTTTGATGAAAAATTGATGAGTCAAGGCATTTGCTTTTAGTGAGAATTTTTCACGTATTTCTCTTAACACTGGCCTCAGGTGGACATTTTAAATTCAGCAAAAGCAACAGAATATCAATCTTGGCATTGTTAACAAAATTCTAGGGCATTTGAGGTCAAAAACCCGAATATATGAAAAAAATATGTTTTGCTGTTGAGGTTTTTCTCTAAATAACTTTCTTAATCCTGTCCCCATTTGGATCATTCAGACTGGGTTGTAAAGAGCAAAATCTTCTGTAAAATCTGATTTTTCGGCAACTCAAATCGGTTAAGAATCGTAAAATTTATTACGATTTGAACGTCGAGCAAAAAAAATTGTATTTGACACTTTAGATGGATTTAAGGGCCAAACAAGCATTTTGAGACACAAAAATCGCAATTTCTCTAAACAAAATAAGATTTCGATGTTTCCTAAAAAATGCCGTTAAGAAAACTATACTGGGTTAGAAAACTGAAAAATTATGTCCAATTTATAATTTCTAAGCGAAAAATATTTTGAGTTTTCACACTATCTAAACGCCAGATGCATTTAAATGTCGAAAAACATTTAGAACTGTTATACTTTAGGCAAACTTTAGAAGCATTTGAGCGCTAATAAAGCATTTTTGGAGACGAAAATCGAAATATTTTATTGAAAATTGTACGAAAGCCGTGAACCTGAATTTTTGTAAAAAAAAATTTGCGCTTGCTTACTTAAAAATTCACATCTCCCAGCCTAAAGCAGACAGGCAGTTGCATCTTTTACCATCTTTAGTGGACACTTGGCCCAATAGACGTAGAAAGTTTCAAAAAAATCCATTCGGAACCTGATTTTTGTCGGCTTTGTAAATGAGACTCACAAAATTGATGGTGTCAGTCAATTGCGCCCACTTACTTAAAAATTCGCAACCTCCCGCACTAAAGTCCATAGGCATTTAGGTGTTTTATTTCATACAGGAAACACCCTGTATATTAAGGGATGTTAATATGGATTTGAACAGAACACTACTTCGATTCGATCCAAAGTTGGATTTTTTGGACGTTTAGTTGCTCGCTATTTTTCCCCGAAGACAATCGGATACAAAATGATTTCTGACTTATTTTCATAAATAATTAAGGATTTAGATCGAATAAATTTGATATTCCATTAATGTAGTTAGAAGATTGCAAAACCGATTAGAGCGCCACAACATTTTAAACGTTCGTTTTTCCAGCTGGCCTTAACGATGACCAGATTCGACTTCCCTGGATGGCATGAATGATCCTGTACAGGTAAAGATACTCACCTCCACTTCGCCTAAATCGATAACGTAAAAGTTATCGCCTTCATCCCCTTGTTGAATGATCACCTCTCCTGGCAGAAAAGTAGCCGGGAACATGGCATCGAAAATATCCGACCTTTCGTTCTCGTCCAAATGGGAAAATAGCACGTTTTTCGCAATGGCTTTGGATAGAGCTGCCATCGTTTTATAGTCTTTCGGGACAACCTGAAATTGCAATCATATTAAACAGTGCCATCGTCATATAAACATTTACATAAAAACGCAATAGCCAATAGCTAAATGATATTCGATGGTGTTTTGAGTGCCGCGTATGGAATTTTATGTGCTCGTGTCCGCATAGTCTCTTTGTTGCCTTCAATCCAATCGATAGCCATTAAAAAATCCCCAGAATGGCATCACTGGATCCATTATAAAATTAAAATGGACACTTGGTCTACATGATGGAAAAACCGCCATCCATTGCTGGTCTAGTAGCTGCTCTTAACAGGGCGTGATTGATCACCGGGTTCATTTTCGGAGTAAAAATGGAGGTAAACATGGAAAAACGTTCGTGGCACGAAAAGGTCAGACGTGCATTTTTAAATAGTTATCCGTGTTGCACTTCTCCAGGTGAAAACTAGGTTTTAATCCTCCCGGAAAAACCACGAATGCATTTTTTGTGTACACATTTTAAACACTTCTTCATTTTTCATCACCAAAGTCCGTACTTGGTAGCATAGCTAGAGCATCTTCTTCTGTGACCGCTTCAACGACACCTCTTATAAAATTCGATAAACCTACCAGTTCTGCACTGGAAAAAAAGCAACAGAATGTGAATGAGGCAGATTGCTGAGAAAACATTGTTGCATAATTTCTGATCGAGTTTTATGCATATATCCGAGCTTTTGATAACAATTTTTTTTTACGAGTTTCCCTATCATTCCTAAACACCCCCAGAGGAACGACGCCAGTTTTCAATCACCCTGTACGGTCGTTTTGAAATCACGATTTCAGCATCTCTGATGCAATTTTTTCTGCAAAGTTTAACTTTTTCCTGGATTGTCACCACCAAAGATCTTACTTTTTTGACATAGCTGGTAGCATCTTCTTCTGTGACCGGTTCAGCGGATATGCCGCCTCTTCTTCTAACAGGCGCTTGGGCATGGGTGGGCAACGGGGACAGATCCTCGGTGTCTTCCGGGGACTGTGCCTGATTTTTCGCATCTAACGCTTGTTCCTGAAACAACATCAGAACATGCTTAAACACATCAACTTTTTTTTTATTTATAAAACTAGTAAGTTGAGTGTCTCCTTCGTCATAGAGCAATGCGGAGTTTTAAGACTATTTTTAAACTTGCGGTGCAAATTATAATACGGGGCCGATACGCAAAAGGGGTAATTTGCATTTCAGAATATTCATAACGCATTTGCTTGACGCAAAACCCTGTGTGTGAAGTATGTTCAAGCTCTTTCCGTCCAATTCAGGTAATGGATGGCCTGTTGATCAGGCTCGACAATGTCTAATGGTCTGGCGTTTTTATATTGATTTTGGCGTGAATTATGACACAAATCAATCATATAGGCGTAAGCAAGTGGGTGTGGAAGAGCATCAAAATGTCAAGGATATCGCTTGTTAATTGCCACCGTTTTAATATCGGTTCAGACTTCTAAAGCGGTAGCAAAACTAGCTAATTAAAAGTGGTTTAAAAGATGCGCATAAGCGAAGTGATTGATTTTTTCAATTTCCAATATTCGTTGAAAACTACGATTGATTTATTAAAACTTCTTTTACAAACAATTGTTTCGCAAAACCATCATTTTTTAATACACATTTTCAACATTTGGGTACGTCAAAGGCAGGTACAAACTTTTTTGAAAATTTGTTTATATTTGGAACTCGATGCACGTTGAACAAAATCACCTAACCACGATGAAGCCCAGAAGTCCATGCCTAAATGCGCATTTTTTGTTATCTACACTCGGACTAAATCAACTGAGAGTAAAAGGAAAGCAGTATTGATAACAGCGGATGTTTGCCAAAACACAACTCTCATTATTGGTGAATGTGGAATCAATACTTAATTCCATTTTGGCTCAGTTTTTAGTCCGGATGCCAATCAAATTTATTTAATAACCGTTTAGAATAATGGTGCTTGCTCAAACGCAAAATTAAAACAGCTTCTGCTCCGTGTTAATTAAATTTAAAAAAATCCGGCTCTGGCTAAAATAAATGGCAGATTTATGTCCATGTTTAATTCAACAGCACTGTTGTTTAGAAGGCATTTTGTATAATTTTTAAATGAAAAACAAGTGACCTAGATTGCTTGTGTTAAAATGCGTTGTTAAGGATCAAATTTACATTAATTTTCGTTTGCATGCAAATGTTGCCTAATGAGGATCTCGGCGGCGTTTTTGTCGTTTGAAATTAACTTCCAAACGGACGCAAAACTTAAAATATTCAAACGAAATCGAGATTCATTCATTCGTTCCCACTGCGTAATCTCATGGATCCGGTACTGATCTAGTCAGATTTGTGGCAACTTTATTAAGTGAATCGTGCTCACTTGCGGATCCTCCCGTTTAGCCAACATTAATTCTGCACCTGTTTAATTTTGGCAGCACATCTGAACACAAATCGTATTTATTTTAGTTCAGATATTAGCGATTTTACGAGACAAAATTGAAGTTTCAGAATACGCAAACGGAGTACTACAGGAAAAGATTCAACAATATTACCGCAACATTTACTTTAAAGATTCAAAAGAGTTTTCAGCTTTCTAGTTGGACTGATGTAGGATTTATCCCAAATATCAGCCTCACTTTTTAAATCTTATGTGCGAATTTCATCAAAACCCTCCAGCGAGTTAAAAAAAATTAGCATGTTTTTTAAACGTCTTCTCGTTGCAAACATTTTCACTTTTTAAATGATAATATTATTCATTAGAGAAAAGTTCTTTTTTAAAAAGCATTTGAGGAAAATATCAGAAAGCTTCCAAATAATTGAACTAATTTATGATTTCGCCCACGTTCTTATGCCCGGACTGCACGAACTGGAAGAAGCTAAAATGAAAATTGAATTTGATAACCCCATAGGAGCAGCCGCCAATCATTATTTGCTATTGGCAGCTGTCCGTCAATCTTTAATCCAATTTGCGTTATTACTTTAAGCTGAAAGTAAATAGAATTGCAGTAATAAACGATCAAGAGCTAATCTAGAGGGTTTTTCAGATAATCTTTTATGAACTGGGATGCGAGAAAAACAAAAAAATGATGATAATGTTCAAATGAAATTTACCATTGAATATCACTGTATCATCGAAATGTCACATAAACTTAAAAAACAAATGAAATACCCAACAAGCAGTTTGTAAAAAATTAAAAAACAAACTTGAACATTTTATTTGCGAATTAATTAAACATCTACCCCCACACTACATGTGATTGAAAGCAGTTTCGACACACCGTGGTAGCAATCGGATGCGCTGATCCATCTTATGTTTCAATACTTGTTGCCGATATGTGCGTTACGCTTAGTCATCAGGCAAATGACCGAAATTGATTGAAATATAGTTTTAAAATATTTCTTTGCAGTGGATGAAAAGCGGTTTTGCTTGGGGATAAATTGGACGTGGCCATCTAATAAAGGGCGCGCTCATATTGCGATAAAAATACTCCCATAAAGGTGTGTTAGTGTGCACACGAACGCGGTGAGGCCCTTATTAATGACATAAAGTGTATTTTTCAGTAGCCGTTAGAGTGTGATCTAATATTGGATGTAATCATCGGGACATTAAACATACCATAACAGCACATTACCGATAAAGTAATTTTAATTATTTCCATCGATTAAAAAAATTTATTACATGTTTACTGATAATTACTTAAATTTCCATACTTATGCGATTACATTACTGACTTAATGAAACTGGAACGCAAATGAGAAAAAACTGCATTATTATCATTCAATCGAATACTTGCAAAGGTTACGTTGCTCACGAAAAGGTCATAGAGCTTTCATGTCGCTGAGCAGGAAAACTGCGGAAAAACTGGGCAAATTTGACCGCCTAAATGAAATCTGATTGGAGGTGAACTCTGTTTGGATCGCGGCCAAGAAACTTGTTCATTATTAAAAAGTTCAGTTTATTATTAAGGATATGCGTCTTCCGGGATTGCAATTGGAGAAAACTAATTTTATCAAAATAGATGGGCTTGCCCGGCCAAATTGCTGAGTTTTTTTGGATTTTTGGTCGTGCAACATAATTTCTTCCTGACGTTTCGCACACACGAGTGGCTGGCATCTTCAGAGGTGGTTTGCTGGAAATTTTACACCGTAGATGCCAACCGTTGCTGAACTCCGATACACTTAATTCCTTTTTTGGCTTCGAGTTTTGATTTTTCTTTGGGGATTTGGTCTAGGTAGTCGTGAGAATAAACTTTTTTAGCTACCAAGTTATTCGGCGATTAATTTTTTTCCGCCTTCGTCAGGACTGGAAGAGTTATTAAAAAATCAATCAAAAATATGACCCATGAAACACATGGGAACACAAGTTAACAGAACCTACTCTCTCAGACCTGAAGAAGGCGGAAAAATTAACCGCCGACAGCTTGGGAGCTAAAAAGTTTTTCTGATACACCACTGCCCAGACCGAATACCCAAAGAAAAAACACAACTTGGACCCAAATAAATATGTTTCTATTAAATTTTTTGGTTAGAGAGTATGTTCATATTTGTTTCATCTTTATTTTATTTTTTGTTTTACCAAAATAAAGTATTTTGTTGCTTGTTAACAATTTTGCGGGAGTGTTTCTAACGGGCTTCTAGAGCCGACTTCTGCGAACAGTTTAGAGATTAATAATATTTTTAAATTTCAGAATTTTTCGTTTGTAGCCAAGTTACTTTTTCTTTAAAATGCTCAATTTTCTAAAGGTTCACTTAAAAATCTTAAGGTATTCTCCGCGAAAAATTATGAAATAAATTTCGAATCCTTCGTCGCTTTGTAAAGCGTTTAGAAATCCCTTTCCCGCTTCGAATTTGGAACAAAAATAAAATAATTTTCTATCATAAATCGAACAGAATAAGCGAAAATTTATAACAGATTATTTGGAAATCTCGTCACCTCAATACCTCTGAAAATGTGGTTTTTTAGTTTTAACTGATTTTTTTTGCTTTGCTTTACTTGTACGTTATATTTTGTAGAGTTTCACTTAAAAGTACTGACGATATGGAGGTCTTTTATGCAAAAAGTTACAAGATAAATTTACAGCTTTGTAAAAAACCCATTTCAACTTCGAATTTGGCTCAAAAACCGAATAACTTTATTCAGTTTTTACCGAAAGTAATTAGGATTATTATTTGGAAAATTCGCCGCTCTCATCGCTCTGAAGATTTAAAGTTCCTTTAAATTTTCTATTAGGCAATTCTTTCGACGCAAAAATCGCATTATTTTCTAGTTTTACGTAAAATACTGACAATGTTTTAAGTGAAATATTATAAGATACATTTTATTGGCACACTCGCCCCCTTAACCGCTTTGCAAACACTTTTGGAAAACTTTTTGCAGCTTCAAATCATGGACAAAACCCTAATAATTATTGCTGGGCCTTTTTAACAGTAATAAAACAGAAAACCGCGTTTTTCCTAACGTTTTACTGTAAAATACTGACAAACTGAATCTTTTATGCAAAAGAAAGAAGAGATCGACATCACAAGAAAACTCGTCGACTTTCTTTGGACTCAGTTCTGATGCTGGGAAAATCCAGCTGACTTTTTTAGTTGTCTGAACAAAGTAGTAAAAGGACACTCAGAAAACATGTGGATGGCCTCTTTTTAACATGTGAAAATTCCAGTCTCGGATCTCGTAAAGCTTTAATAAATGACTTATAACTCGTTAACTCACAGAGCAGCAACAACTCAATAGCGCAACTCAACACAGTGTTACCCTGCTTCTTTCAACATTCTACGCTAATTGCATCGAACTCGCGGTTAAACGATCAGTAAAGCAGGCAGAAGAAATGGGTTTAGTAAACGCACGGCGCAGCGTGGAAACATTGAACATTGCGCCTTTCAATGGTCCTAAAGAGTAAAATAAGACATGAACTCATCATTTCAACACGCGACGTTTGATCCGCGTTTTGGCACTGCTACAATTTCGTATCCGACAGATTAAAATATCCAAAGTCGTCAATTTTTAAAATTCCATCGAAAATCCTTGCCAAAATTAAGCCATTTGAAAACTTTCCTCTGGGAGTTTTGATTCGCATCAGCAGACCAGAACAACATGGACCAAGTTAATACCTGATAGTAATAATACTGTTGCTGAAGACTCAATCCGGTGAACGCATTGCTGAGATTCATAGTCAACTCACTAAACCCACGCGCGGGCCGATTGAAAACTTGAACAAATCACCATTTCCCGCACTATGATCCAGCGAAACGAAGATCAGCAACTTTCAGCAATCCGACTAAAAAAGATTAAACACTTGATATGCGTATTTACGTAAGTTGATTGTCTGTGACGATGCTCGACAGTTCAAACATTAAATAAAACCATAAAAGTTATTTAGTTGTAACACGCGGTCTACGTCCGATTTATCCCAAAATGTATGCGGACGACACCTATTTCGCTTTGCCCATCTCTTTCCAGTACACCTACAGCAATTAATAACGTAACTTCGTTATCACTAGCTGATCATTCAGATAAACATGGATATGAAAAGATCATCACACCTTATCGGATGCCTTAGCGCAGCTTGTTATGATAAAACATTTTACCACCTACTTACAAATGCCAGCATCTCCACCTTACAAGCTACTATTGTTATTTTTTTCATTTTTCCCGAGTTAACTATACGCAAACATAAGGAAATTAAAAAGCGAACGCAACATCAAAGGAGAAATAACTACCTAATCAATCAGTAATTGCCCATCCCCGTTTACCTAACGTTGAACATCTTGAAGCCGGGAAAATGGAAATGTACGATTTCCGAAGTTTAATTTTATGTGGAAAAGGCCGCATAAATCACGGGATAATGAACCCAAAATAAAGCAATTTATCATCCTTCACAATGAATATGACTGAAAATCATTAAATTGATTTAGTAGATAAATCGACGTAAAACTGGAACTCAACAACGGAGCATTTAAAGATGTTTGCTAGTGGATTAATTCGCATTCTTTCAAATGTTGGAACTCATCAGCATTAAGTAACGATTTCATCAACAGCAAGACTACAATAGCGCACATTAAGTGCACTTCCTCGATAAGCAGCGGAAAATATATGCCAACTATTGCCAATCTAAGGAAGTATAATTATCGTTAATTAACCATGGTGCTTTCTGGGTGATAGAGTGAAATCTCGAATGACGCAATGTGCAAGATTAAAGTCTACCACACCATTATTCAGTGAAACGGGTTGAACTTTTACAATGTAACAGAAAAACAAACGCATCATTAGTGGGTTGCGCTCATTTGCCTTATCGATGTTGGCATTTCGTTAAAAAAGCGAACTGAACTTTACTTTTAAGCGAACAAATTGGCTCCATTCTTTGCACTTGCGTGTCATCAAGCGAAATACAAATATTGTACAAATACAGAATACTTAAGAGTTACTGACAAGTCTCAAAACGAATTTCAGCTTTTAAGTGTAGCTTAAAAATACGTTGGCTGATTTGAGTGAAACTTTGGCAATTTATCAAAAAAATTATCGTTCATCTGCTGGCCATTGGATTAGAGATAAACAAGACAATCTGTTATTTTTTACATTATCTGTTTTCATGTGGCATTCAGATAAACTCATTAAAAAAGCACTGTTTTTGCCTCTGAACTTTTTGTAAATAACGTACATAATGCTTCTTTTTTAAGATTAAGTATTTAGAGGGTGATTTTAAAAGTTTTTATAATATTTTTTTGGAAATGGGCTTTTCCTGTGCAAATAATGGCTATTAAAAATGGGCCAATTTTCCAGCCAATTTTCCTTTATTTCCGCAAGAAAAACCGAACTTAAAAAAGTTCATAAGAACGACCGCTTTTACGCTCTAAACACGACCCGAAAATATCTGCCTACATCATTACCGAATAAGCAAAAAAACAAATAAACAGACATATTTTTCAACATTTCTGTGCTCTTTGTAAAATCCTGTCTTTCCGTCTAAAAAAGTTGGTAAACGCGTACCGAAGAAATACCAAATCTCCATTCTTTAATACATAGATTCAATTATATTTCAACTGCGATTGAAATTGAATTGAATCCTACTCAACATTTCTGGATCATTCCGTATTCCATTCGTGTCGTTTTGAATCCTGCGCAGCAATTTTCTTAGGAATCTACTTGAGTGGCATAAACTTTCCTCTTTAAGGCGTCCCTCCCAACTCCTCCTTGGGGGGCAATTAATAAACTCTCCTTTACTTTTCGATCCACTTGTGTGGAAAACTATTCCTTAATTGGGCTGTTATAGCAGCACTAAAGTGCGACAGGCATTTGTTAATAAAAGTTAAGTTAAATCGCCTTCGCTTGGGCCAAAGAATATCGCATTACCATTTTGAGCATGTGGTTACGCCACGGGGAACATTAATAATCAAACATACACAAAGAAAAAAACAGGTTTAAGAGAGACAAAAATCAAAAAACATATGCGTTTTCCTCGAATTTCCAAAATAGAGGCCAATTTCTCTCCTCGGGCCAGCGGTGTTCCAGACGACCGAAAATATCTTAATCAAAACATTCAGTGGTGCAGTTGGATAATTTTCAATTAATCAAAAGACGGAATTAAACCTTCCCGGTTAAACGAGGCAGAATATTTCCGCTGAATCACGCAATTTTCGCTTTCCAAGATTTTTGGGCTGTAAATTAACGATTTTTTAAATCAAAAATTTTTTGCAACTGCAGGCAGTCTAAAGATTGTAAATTCCACCACCGAATGGTTTAAAGTGAAAAACGCCTGTACGTTTTTTCTGGATTTCGCTAGAAATGCTTGCAAATGAGACAAATGGGGAAATTCCTAAGAATTAAAGAAAAAAGCCACAAATACTTTTCATTGACTAGAAGAAAAAGGGTGCCATTGATCTGTTTGAATAAGTGATGAATCTTGGTATTTTTCGATATATTTTAAAAGTTGCAAAGTTGTTTAAAAAAACATACGTTTTACTACTTTCACAGTTTTTAAGGATTCGAACGAAACACAAGATTACTTTCACAAGCTTCATACATCAATGCAAAATTAATGCAAATTCACCTATTGATGTCGACTGTTAATGTATGTTATGGCCATTAAATTAAATTAAAGTTAAAAATTAAAATTGATTTTATTATAAATTAGTAACAATTTATACATAAGTTCTAGCACTGAAAACGTCACAAAATCGTGCGGTAGAAAAACATAAATAAATGCCTCAGAAAACCGCAGGTCTTTAAAAATGCCATAGTTTTTTATATATATTAACAAAAAAACGTAATAACGACATTTCAGCACATTTCCGAGAAACTAGAGTAGTTCAATGCTTAATCAAAATGTTTCATTAACAAAAAAATATATATTATTCTGTAAGTGGCACAATCGCGGGATTTACTTTTTCAACTCTATACAAAATTCTAATAAATTTAAAACATTTTCTCAAAGTACCTAATTTTCCTTCTATTTTCTGCTTATTTGTACTCTCGCTCCCGTGTGGACCTAAAACACACATTTACCATCCAAAATACACAACAGGACATACGAAAATAGTCCCTTTGAGGGCGTAAATAGGCAAGCAGCTCGTACATATTTTAGTGGGGAAAAGTTATAGACCTTTCAATGTAATGAAAAAGAAGTAATGAACGGTATACCCCCAAATTTTCCCTATTTGGACATTTAATTTTGGGTAAAAATAGAACAAGCATTGTTAAAACGTTAGTGGCATGTACATATATATAGATCGGTGGCAAAGTCAATAAACAGTCATTTACTTATTTTGGCAGTTTTGAATGTGTATCTTACACCAAAATTGTGTTCAAAAATCCGTTAAAAAGGCGCATTTTGCACAACAAAGCTCATCAGCAACATTTGCATTGATTTAGCGATAATTCCATTAGAATCCACAAGTTGGAGGCATTGAAGCAATTCTAATGGGATTAAAGGTATACACTTTCATTATGTAACATGCAAATTATTGGAGAAAATCTGAAAAAATAAAAAAATGGTGTGTTTTTTGCATCTATAGTTTGTCAAAAGCGAAATCAATCAGCGAATAACAACATGATTTTTCTTATATTACCTGCGGCATTGTGAAGGCTCAAAAGGCCACTGCCGGCCTGATAACCGAGTTCAACACCCCCGCAAAACCAAGACAAAACTTGAAATCTATTAGAATATGGTCACTTCTATCGCTTCGCAAAGTTCCAAAATAGTGTTGATTGGCCTCCAAACTAAATTCACCCATAAACTTCACACAAAATTGGAGATTTGAGACCGTCTTTCGTCAAGTCCATAGCTGGGTTGATGGTTATTTTGGTCGCGGAGATCATCAGTTGTTCGTGCCGTCGATTTATAAATAAAAGAACTGGACAGACGACGCCTGCTTGACCCGACGCGAGGAGCGCCAACGTCAAAACTGCCAAGGCGGGAGAAAGTATTCGGATGTTTGCTGCTTTTCCGCCTTCTCCTGGAGGCATTTCCATCCAGGGAATGAGCAAACGCTCCCGTTTTACCTCCCCCAAAGTGACATAACTCCTACCTTCTTAGTTAAATATTTAATTACGTGTCTTAAGAGGCCACAACAAATCTGAACGTGCAGAGGACAAGCTATGTTTAACGAAAAAGAGCTGCGTATGCAGTTTAAGTGCTATTTTGTTTTCCTTGATTGAACTTGAATTATTTATCTGTTTTGGACAAATAGGTCAAATAGAAAGTTGCCTGATTGTGGCAAAAATATCTAAAGTTTGGCTGAGCTGATGCAATCATTTCACTAAACCTTGGATTAGAAAAACATATTAGATTAAATAACCACGTTAATAAGGTGTGGTTTCAAACACAAGCAAAATTCAAGTATCAAACGCCCTGTAAAGATCCGAAAATGATCAAAAACTCAATTTTCACTTGGAGTTCTCAACTTCTTTCAGATGCCAGTTTCGAAAAAATCAAAGTAGCAATTTAAACATTCWGCTGTTCGAGAAAGTTTTTGACGCTGATGCTCAGTCCAATCTAAACGTTTCCAAAGTCTTCAAACTGAAGCGTCAGAAACAGCCAATTCTTTGAGAAAATATCCAGTCAGGGAGTGATAATCAAAATACATAGTGGAGTCAGGAAAACAGTGATAATTAAAATACATATAGTATGTACGCTATAACTTTGGTCGCACGTCATCAATCGTCGGTCGAGCGTTGTTGCCATACCCGCCATAAATTCTAGCAGCAGTATTAAATTATCTCAATGCTGTCTCGCTTTTCCTGATTATTCTTTATGGAATAACGGTATATTTGAAAAGCATAAATATACCGTCAACGCAAAAATCATGGACAAGTAGGTATATGACAAATGCAACAAGCAAGCGTCATGCGTCTTTAAAAAATTCTACGATCGATTCGGCCGGATTGAAATTTTCACCAACCTAATAATTTTGAAGATGAACATAAATAAAGAACGTCGCTTTAAATTAGGTAGTTTTCTAAAGTTCTTTCGTATTTTATGATTGCTTAAAGTTCTCCAATGCCCAAAACACAACAAAAAAATCGACTTATCACACAAATTTCACTCATAATTGCTTATATGTTGTAGTCAGATTTCGTCACTGATGACGTACGACCAAAATTATAGCGTACAGAACAGACTATATAAAGGGTGGCTCACGAAAATGGGCGCTCGAAACTCGACAAATACAGTTTCGATACTTCCGAAAATTTCAAATTTTGCTCAAGCGTCTCTGCTCTTACACCTACAATATTTTTCGAACACTTCGAATTTTACCGGAAATAGACCAATTCGCTTATTTTAAATAGAACA